TTAGCTGATGCAGAATGATTATTTTGATTCATCGACATTAACTCGAACGGCAGCACCAAAGAGTTTATAGGGCCTTGTAAAGACGGACCTGTGAGAATCCTAATGTGTTGAGTGACATCAGCTGTGCCTTTTGCCGGAATATGGAGTGAATTAGGCCGACGTTTCAAAATATACAAAGAGTCTGCAGAAAGACAAGGCTTATGTCAACAGCGGCTTGTGTTTCTGCTCTGCTCTGCCCCGCATGTCGCCTGCTGCTAACATCAAACAGATCTCAGCAGCACGGTTTGGGAAAATGCTAGATGCTGGTAATAATTATCTGCTCCTCACCATGTAATTAAATAAGTTTATTAAAGCACTTAGTTCCAGCAGCTCGGTTTATTTTTACGTGGATTAAACCTGAAGAGAAGCTTTGGCATTATTCAAAGTGTAATCTTGGATCAGGACATATACAATCTTTTAGTTGAGCAGTGAAAGCAGCACAATTGAGGGAGCATGGAGGAGAATAATCTGCACAACCCTGGAGTGCTGGGGAGAGAAAGAGCAATGGAAAGACGCAGGAAGACCAATATAGACAGAAATTGGAGGATGTGTTTTCTGGTCAGGAACCCATTGCTAAAATTAGCGAGGATGTAAATTCCTCAGCGTAGCCGGTTTTTGAATATGCGCATGACACTGAGAGGAGCTGCCAGGAGAACATAAAACAACAAAAGAATAAAAGTGGAAAGGCGGCGGTATAGGGAGAGGTCATACATGAACCCAAATGTTTTCCATCTTCCTTATTCCTTTTTAAATTGACCTTCGCCCTGAGAACAAAGACATCTAACACGCCACAAGGAGGAGAAAAAAGCCCTGAAAAGCAAAAGCCGCCACACACAACAGTCGACGGGGGGAGGCTCGGGCTGTGGACGCCAAGCCTTCAACACAATCACCACACATGCTATTGTGGCCTGCAGTAAAGCCCTGGTATGGCTCAAATCTCCAGCTAACCCCCTCCACCCCATACCCTTACCACCAGGCCTCACCCCCCCTCCTCCACACTTTCTCTGTCTCTCCATGCGTCCCTGTCATTTACAGTCCTAATGACAAGACACAAACTTCCACACATTCAACCCCCGCCGAGCGAGGATAATCACGTTACAGCCGACGACAGGGACATAAACCAAACCCCTCCTGCAGTAACTTTGAATGCACTCAGACGTGGATTTGCATAAATCCAAACAGCACAGTCAGCAGGCCAACTGTGTGGCTCTGTACCTCTTTTTCCATCGTGGATGGAAGAGAGACAAAAAAAATCCACCACGCTGTGAAACACTGAGGGAATGGATGGATGGAGATGGAAAATAGGGGAAGACTTTCTCAGTTTACAGTCGCCACACAAAGCCAGGACTATTTCTAGGCGTCCTATTGGTTTAACAGAGGCAAGAATACACAGCCGGGCTGCAAGTCAAGGACAAAGACTCATAGGGACTGAGTGTCAGATTCAAGTTCTCATGCCCCGGCTGCGTTGTCCTGCTCCTTGCTACTTCTCTGTTGACCCGCAGACTTATTCAATACCTAAATATTGACATTACTCTTTCTTGTGTGTGCCTGTTATCTTAGGAATGCATTTACGGCTTTGTCGCTTGCATCAATCAACTAAAGCTGATAATTTTCTAAATGTGAGGCGCCAGGGACTTCCCTGCCATCGCAGGGTCAGAGTAAGTGAGATAAGGAAAAGCGGATCCGTCAAGGTGAAGCACAAAATGAGCCTGCATGGGGCATGTTAGGACTTGAATTCTCTGGCTTAAACATTTACATTACATGGAATGGTGGAATGTAACTTATTACATTTAGCTAAATGTAATGTTAGTATGTGTAGATCATTCCAGTTTATACTATATATTTTTGCCTCAACTACATTTTAACCATTAAAGAGGGTTTCATCCGTCCGATTCTATTCTATTCTAAGAGGATTTTTTTTGTTATATTTACATCAGTACGTTTTTCTTAAAGGTAGGTAAGTTTGAGAAACCGGCTCGAGATACACTTTTTGTTATATTCCATGGAATGCTCTTAACATCCCGATAGCAATAAATATCTTAAGTGCTTTGACAAAAAATCCATAAAAAAATTTCATCTGTGGAAGCCGTAGTACTGTAAAAAGCACGACCAATCATTTTAGCCGGCCCGGCTAAAATAACTGGATGGCCTACCTGCCTGTCAGCCTTCCATCTGTGCACAAACTTATCTCGTGCCCTCATTGGTCATGTGCGCGTTCGTGTGTGTTGGAGGAGGGGCTCTGGAAGGAAGTGGCAGATTTTCTCCGGCTGTGTATTTTCAAATTCTAGCGATCTCGAGCTGGTTTCTCCAAAATTACCTACCCCACCTTTAAATTAAAGTTACTTTTCGAAGATATAGATTATTAACACAACATTCAATCAACTAATAGGCTAATAGATGATGATGTTTAGGTTCAAGATTACACTACTGAGCAGTATTACATTAGCTCCACCTTTATAAGGCAAAATTAAAGTAATATTTTAATTTGTAAAAATTGATATAGGCCTATTTATATAGTTATTGGCCAAACTTTTACTTTCGGAATAAGAAAAGTTAAATGCCAGTATTTCTTCACTTTTACTTAAATACTGTAACAATTTGAAAGCAGGACTTTCAAGTCATTTTTAACAGTATTTACACAATATGGTAACCTTACTTTTAATCCCCTCCACTGAAAAACATATTTTTATGTTAATGCTCTTTCATAAAATCTGAAAATATAACGCACATTTAGATTAGGTAGGCTACGTCACAAATTTGAAACAGCCAAGGCAAATGCCCACACATCACCACAGGTAAGTAGGCCCACAGGAAGAAGTTGTTAGTATTTGCATCACCGTTTTTTGACAACTAACATGTTAGAGTGTAGAGTTTTTGCATGTTAACAAGACCCTGGAGCTTCCTCCACTAATCTACCAAAAGATCTTTCCAGAAATGTTTGCATATTTGACAACCACTAATGCTCTGTCAGCCATTGCCAGTTGCATGTTAACAAGCTAACCAACAACACAAACAAATGTAAGATGCTAACAACACTTACCTTTCTGATACCTCTGCTAGTCGCCGATTTTGGTGCCCAAAAATAACAGTCAAACATGTTTGGGTGAATATTTCTGTTGTTTCCACTAAACATGAAAATAGGCCAGGCTCCGAAAATACCGCGAAGGACCTCGCGCGGCCATGATGCTCACTGTTTAACCTGGCGCAAGCAGCGGTGGGCGGGGCTAGTTCGGATCCATCATTTTGATAAAAAAAAGCATCGATTTTTCAGATATTTTTTGTTTGTTTGTTACTTTTTAAGTGGGAAACTTATGTTTAAAATATATCGATAAGAACAGATATCTTACATTCTTCAAAACATGTCCGGGAGGCTTAAAATAAGAGACCTGAGTAGGCTACTTTTTCCACCTATAGCTATTTCATTACATTTTATTAGCATTTTTGTCCTCGACAGGTGTGAGTCTTGGAATCTGATGCAACATGCCAGTGATGCCACTGAAGCAATATTTGACGCTGACATTTACAAGCTCTCCTGCTCGCCGATGCTATGCTGCATTCCTTTCAAGGTCAGTCATTGGAAGTTCCCAAATGAAATGTCTGACCTCCGACCCTTCTGGTTTTGTGCTGGGAGAAAAATAACTAAATGTAGGTAATAAGAGAAGTGGGCGTTACACCAAGTTTATTTACGGGTCCTTTGTGGTTAAGTTTAAAAATCTTGGTCAGACTAAATGCTGACACATGCGACACTCCAGGAAATAGTTTATACAAATTATTTGGGTCTTATTTGTATAAATTTGACTAATAAGTTTCAACTATAAAGTTTGAAAGAATACAATTATTGTGCAATTGCACAGTTTAGCTCCTTTATGCATTGTTTAATCTACAGCCATGCATGATATAGAGAACGGCAGTGACGCGTCCTAAAACCCGGAAGTAAACTTCTTCCGGTTCCTTCGACAAAAATGCAATGCAATTTCTCCATAGGATTTTGGAAAATAGCTTGAAATAAGGTCTGTGGTTGTCACACATTTAAGAGACGGATCACGTTTTTGTTTAGTCGGGTAATCTCCACATGTCTACCCATCTTTTATAATTTTCGAATCATAAATCTATCGATCATAAATCTATCGATTAGAAAATTATAAAAGTAGGGTAGACATGTGGAGATTACCCGGCTGAACAAAACGTGATCCGTCTCTTAAATGTTTGTCAACCACAGACCTTATTTCAAGCTATTTTCCAAAATCCTATGGAGAAATTGCATTGCATTTTTGTCGAAGGAACCGGAAGAAGTTTACTTCCGGGTTTTAGGACGCGTCACTGCCGTTCTCTATTCTATAAGATCCTCATGTTAGCAGGGTTGCTGTCCTGTGAGAACCATGATTCTCTAAAGATTTATCTTCTCAGTATAACCCAAAATAAACGGCCCTGTTTTCAGCGTGTGGCGACGATGCATTTTCCAGCTAGCCAATTCATTTTTAAATAGTTTATTTAGCTGACAAAGTAAGACAAACTCATAAAGGAACACATCATCTTTCAGTTCATCATAACAGTTTACAAAGCTCTGTGCAAATGTAAAATAATTTATAAAAATCCTTCCTGAGATGAGTTGGATTAGAAGCATTATGCACTACTACAATACATTTGTACTTGAAGTACATTACTTGAATGTATTTTGGTTACATTCCACCACTGTTAGACCTCTGTTTCCGCTGCAGGTAATGAAGCACTCGCATGTTTATTACAGGTTCCAGATCTGGAATTAAACCATCGAGCAGCATTATGAGGATATCCAGGAGGAAGTATAAACATCCTGGCACCGTTTAAAACAAATAAAGCATACCTCTGCTCTGCTTTGCGTCAATCATACAGCAGGCTTAACCAAATCCATTTTAAGACTTTATTGCTCCTAAAATGCAATGAAGAAAATCTCTGGCAAGGATAAATAAGGAATAGAAAAATGGGACATTAGAGCTTTTTTATTATTATTATTATCCAGAATGAGAGCACAACCTTCAATTATAATCCCAGCTCAGTGTTTATCAGCATAAATAAATACAAGTAAAAAATAAATAGGCTATTAAATACAGTATAAAACAGGCAAAAAAAAGGAAGGAATTTGATGAAGGAACTCTCAAAATGTTTGGAAAGACAGCAAAGGTAGGAGACTTTGGAAAGTGAAAAATAATCAGTTTGGGTATATGGTAAAAAGTAAAATCATACAAAATGTACAAAATCTAATTGCAACCAGTAAACCAGACATAAAAAAAAACAAGAAAAAAATCCCTTTTCCAAAGATGGGTCTATCAGCTACAATTGAATCATGGATACATTTGAAAACACAGTAAAAATTCAAGTAAAGGAAGGTGTACATCAGTAACACAATGATTTGCAGTCATCAATTAAGAGCACTAGAGAAACCGTCCACTATACACAGAGAGAGAGTCGCCTCATTAAAAGGTGACAGAAGCAAACTCCCACTAATGTTACAAAAACAGGCACTTCAAAAATGTCTTTGAATGTCTAGAGCGAGCTTGGCACTTAATTGTCAAAAGCATATAGTTTCATCCCATCAACATGTCCCACGGAAATATAATTGGATATTTTTATAGTTTCCACAAATTAATATGAGACGTTGAAATTGCAAACCATTCTGTTATTAAGTATGAAATCATCTCAACCACAACTCCTCATTACATTTTTTCCAGTGGCATTGCATTTTTTTTTTTTGCAAACTTTACCCTCTACCTCTTCATAACCGGCACGCTACAAACAGATGGATTGCTATTTTCATGGTTTTATACCATTTTTCTTTTTTTTCGGGATTTTGTGTGTGTATTCGTCTTTTAAACTCTAACTAAGAAGAACCAAGACAGTGAGATTTCTGATCCAAGTGCTACATAAAATATTATAATCCCAATGTTTGGTAATCTGTACACAACGAGTACCTCAAATATATCTTCTTCTTTTCATAAAACATTACATATATGTTTATAGCTTAATTTCAATACAAAGCCAGCAGAAGGCCAGTAACAACAGCAAGTCCATCTGTGTTTATAAACCTAAGCAGCACCGTCTCTTTAACTTGGCCAGCTCAAGCCCATTTCAGCCCTCCCGACCCTCCGTCCTCATTGGTCTTACAGGAAATGGACCAAAGTGCCAATTAAAAGGGAGACGCCATGACATCAGCACCAACCGCAACCTGAGCATAGGCTGGGCTGGGCTCCACTGCTCACACACCATCACACTTACTGTGCTTCCCTTGTTTGTTTCAAGCTGAACGCAACAAGCTCAGGGTGCAATTTTATCCGTTCCCAGAACTCGCTTAATTGTTGATTTTTATGAAGCAGGAATGCGAAAATGAAGGGGGGAAAATAAATGTATGAGCAATGAATTGTGACTGTACAGAAGATGTGTATAGTAAAAATAGATATCTAAATATACAGAGTCTACGTGATACATCTATTGTTGTATATTTGCTCCATTCCCGCGTGGATAAGATGAAGAAATAAAAAATGTACAGTAAGTCAGTCTGATTTAGTCGGCCTCATTGGATGGCAAAGTTCTCTTGGTCCTGCTGATCCGAGGCCGCGCCTGCAGAGTCGCTCCAGCTCAGCTTAGAGTTCAAAAGGCTGCCGGCTTCAGTGCCCGAGTTTATTCCCTTTATGTTGTCAGGATCACACTGCAAAGACGCTCAGGGTGCTGGTCTGGTCCTTTAAACCCAAGATGCTGTAGGCGATTCTTTTCAAATGGCCAGGCAGCCTCACCCCGATGTTCTTGATATCCCTGTAAAGAAAAGAGACGTGACAGGATATAAGAAGAGCTGCACATGGATTTACACCTTGGACTCGTTCCAACACATTTCAAGCACATCCTTCCTGCCTATCAGGTCTTAGCAATCATCCAATATGCTGAAATACAAGCCTCGAGCTCCACGGCTGAACCAGCACAGCAAGGTGGGGGTGAGCTTCAAGTCTGCAGAGGTTACGATTTATCTTCGACATTAAAGGATAAGAACTGGGGGGTTTCGCCCTTCACGAGGCACATGATGCAAACCTGCAAAAGCTCTGAAACTCAGCAGCAGCAAAGTCAAAGCCTTAATTACAGCCTTAATTACTTAACAAGGATTCTCCCTGTTGACCATGATCACTCGTCTGGCAAGCAGAGGGTGGCTCGTAAATAACTGCTGGTTTTTCCAAGAGTGCTACCAGATGCCCGGAGATGGAAACATGGGGCCATGAAATCACACCATTCTGTATGACAAATACTTCAAAAGGGGTTTGTCGTCTGCCCCATCTTCCCAAATGACGCCCAAGACCAACTGAGATACGTATACCATGGCAGAAGAGGGGGGTCATGTGGTTAGGAAAACCTCTGGCCTTCATTATTGCCCCAAAACAACCGTATACTATGTGCCTCACTAAGCTCTTTTTTTTCAAAAAGGTTGAGCCCAATTTATTAAATTGCCGCCTTAGCGCTCTTGCACATCTGAGAAGATCCAATTGCCTTAAAGAAGCCTGGGATAAGTTCATGGGGTACACTCTGAGCGCACCTCTTCAATCTTAGAAGTGCAGATGTTCCGGCTATGGGGCTTCAAATCTCATCCATCTATTTCAGTTTCTTAATCCCACCTAGCTACCCCTGCTCCACAGGCTATCATCTCCTCTTCCTCCCCTCCTTAAATGTTGAAGAAACCACGAAAAGGCCTTTGCCCTAACTGGTGTTTTTTTGTGGGCTTAAGCAAAAGTGCTGCACGGGGCAGCTAGTGTGTGTGTGGGGGTGAAGGGAGGGATAAGAGGAAGAATGAAGAGGAAAGAAGAATAAGGACTGCAGCGACCACAGGCAACCACCACCGGCTTACCACAAATGAGCCCACTCCTTCTCCTTCCCTCCATTACTTTTTCCATGCAAACATTTCTCAAGTTGTAACTGAGGTTTGAGATTATATTGCGCGCAAACTATTCTGTTGGCTGTTAAAGGGCAGAGAATTGTAGGAAAACAAATACATAAACTTCTAGAGGGGAAGTCCATAACAGACTTTGTGGTGTTGGAAATCATTCATGCCATAATTTGACAACAAAATGTTGCTCTTCCCTGCCAAAAACATACTTAACAAGTATATAAAATAAATACATCAGAATGTATTATGAGATGTGACCCAAATCTTAAATCATGCCACACTTACTCGTTCTTCATCTGCAGGACCTGGTCCATGGTGACGACCCCAGCGCAGGCGAAGTTCTCGCTGTACTGACTCATCTTGATAGACTCCAGCCACTCAGACACCGACCTGAAGGGGGAACCGTCCGAGCCGCTGGTGCTAGGCAGGCGAATGGATATGCTGCAAGCAGAGAAAAGTAGATCCAAATGATGTTAATCAACAGGCTTACCCACAACAAAGGCGGCTGACTGAGGACTGCAATTACCGCGCAGGAAACCAGTTGGTGATAAAAACCAGTTAGAGCAGTCAGGGCAAGAGCAGATTAAGGTATGAGCACGACAGCCTTTTGTCCTTTCTCACCGTTTCTTGCTCTAATGCTCCAGCATAAAAGGGAAACTATGCATTCATGCAGACAATTACATTACAGCGCTGCAGTAATTCCCTGCCCGGAGTGTACACATTTCTTTCATTAGCCTGGCAGGCAAGGTGTGTTTGTCCTTTATGAGGTTTAAGTAGAACATCTTAAAGCTATTCCCTTTCTTCCCCGAACTACCCCTAAATACCACCAGAAGTAAATGGGAAGCTGCTGTTTTGAAGCAGATCCAAGTCTCAAGACTGTCGATTCGACAATCAAGTCAATGGAGACAAGACAGGAGTGTGGAAGACATGAGATCAGATTACAATATCCCTAATGCCGTTTCCTTTTAAGCCCACAGAGCTCTTTTTAAAGCTGAGTTTTGCTTGTTAAAAAGAGACTACAGGACCATTGGTGCTTATTTTCAAAGTTTTATGCCACATAATGATAGATAGCAGTACCAACCAGAAGGAAAACTGAAATACAGGTGGAGCAAGCAGGAGTAAGACTATAAATGTTTTATATTTAAAGTATTGCAAAGGTTTGGTTTACGGGGTTGTTTTAATTATCTAAGGGCTGATAGTGTTAGTACTGATGGCTGAACTTGCATTTCAAGCCCTTCGTCTGGAATGTGAATAAATCTTACCGTGGGTCAAAGTCTGCGATGGTCTTCAGGGAGTCTGGGCTCCGCAGCAGCTTGTCCAAAAGGTTGACGATGTCTCCAAAGCGCGGCCTCTTGGAGCGATCCTGGAGCCAGCACTGCAGCATCAGCTGGTAAACAGCGGAGGGGCAGTCCATGGGCGCAGGCAGCCTAAAAGCCTCGTTGATAGCCTTCATCACCTGCAAAAAATGTTCAAGTGATTATTTAGGTATTCTCTCACCGGTATATTTCTTCAAATCAAAACATCTTTTGACATAAAAATGTCACTCTAACGGCAACAAACCTCAGAGAAAAATGTGATTTGTAAACTTACCTCATGGTTACTCATATCCCAGTAAGGCCTCTCGCCAAAGGCCATGACCTCCCACATGACGATGCCAAAACTCCACACATCGCTAGCTGAGGTGAACTTCCTGTATGCTATTGCCTCTGGAGCCGTCCAGCGGATAGGGATCTTACCTCCCTGTACAGGTAAAAAAGCTTCAAGTTAGAGACTTGAGGAAGAAAAAAAAAAGTCCTTAATCTAATCTGGATCTGTCTCAATCTATTTTAAAGCTAATCTATTTAGCTTCAAGCTAACAGGAAGTCATACATTTACTTACACTTGTAGTATACGTCCCCTCAGGATCGTCCTCCAGCACCCTGGACAGTCCAAAGTCTGACACTTTACACTCCAGTTCATTGTTGACGAGGATGTTGCGGGCAGCTAGGTCTCGGTGCACGTAGCTCATGTCAGAGAGGTACTTCATGCCGGCAGCGATGCCGCGCAGCATGCCCACCAGCTGGAAGGAGGGAAACTCGCCATCATGGTCCTAATGGGAGAAAAGGAGCAAATATGAAATTAAGTTTTGTGATCAAAACAAAGACAAACAGATATGATATTACAGTAAAGGAAAAATGTGATGCAATGTCACTGGTATTGTATGTGGTTGACTTACCTTGAGGTACCTGTCCAGTGCTCCATTCTCCATGTACTCGGTCACAATCATGGCATGTTTGACTGCACACACACAAAAAAAGCAACAAATCATGTCCCCAAACTGGCCCAAAATCAGGTGAGAATACTGTAAGAGAAGAAAAAAAAACCTTACAAAACTCACAGAAATCCTTACATTTGGTGACCACCCCCTCCAACCGAATGATGTTCTGGTGGGAGAATTGGCCCATGATGGAGGCCTCGCTTAGGAAGTCCTGCCTCTGCTTCTCCGTGTAACCCGGCTTCAGTGTCTTGATCGCTACTGCAACTTCTTTCCTCCCCGGAGGCTTCAGGATGCCGCGATACACCTCACCAAACTCCCCTGAAGGACAACAACAACAACATCAATGGGCCAATTGAATAAGAAAAGTAAATATCAGTGGAATGTGTGTGTTTGATAGATCTTCTCAGGTTACTAGCTGCAGGGGTGTGCTGTGCAACAGAGGGAAAACAAGGAAGTCTCTGCGGCTGTTTTGCCTGAGGCTGTCTCAAAGAGGTGTGTTCTGGCTGGGTGTTGAAAGATGGGCTATGTTGTGTAATTGGTGGATGGCCTGTGGTGTGGAGGCATGGGAATCAGCTGTCACATGAGGAGAAAAGGAGGAGGGGGGGGGGGGGGGGGGGCATGGTCGTGGGAACTGGGGAGGGGGGTGTATATTGAAAGAAGGACTGTTGGTCAAAAGGGTAAAGGTGGTCGCACTTGAATAAACGTATCACGAATAAATCTGGGCAGGGATCCAGGAAGGTGCTCTGATATCCTTCCAGAATACTGTTTCTGCAACACTTTCTTTGTGTAATTGTTCTTGTCACCTTGAGCCAAAAGCACACAGCCAAGACTTGCCTGACAACAAATTGTCTCAACTTGTTGTGTGAGAACTCAGCCAGATAGATGTTAATCTCGCAAACGTAACCAATTCCAGTCAGCCTTATAAAGCCTCGGAAAACGCACAATATAAACAGCCAATTTGGAGGATTGGATCAATCTTTCAACATCTTTGAGTTAAGCCTAACAGAAAGACTGTCTCGGCAGGGTTGTCACTCACCGGCTCCAATGACTTTCTGTTTGCTTATGTGGCTGGGGTGGATTTCTGTGGCAAACTTCAGGACGGCTATGTTGGGGTCCTCATATGTATGTGGATCCACGTAGGTCTTCAGAGGCTTTAATTGCTCTGTGAAGGGAAACAAATCAATTGTTAATTAACTATTAAACAAAAAGATTAAATATTTTAAATTAAATTAGATAAAAAGATTACGGAAAGATTATTTTGCCTACCTGAGTTTGAGAAATATGTGTCCTCTGGTCCTTGCCTGGAGTGAGAATTTCTTTTCCTGCATAAAAAGATAAAACCCATTTGCAAATTAATATCCCACTTTCATAGAATAAATGATCATTTCTTTTGGGTCTTTTGGACAATTTGCAAGCTTTAATATCAATAGCACATAGCAACCTTTGTTAATTTTTTCGAGACTTTCTAAGGCTTTCAAAAGTATCCGACACTGGTGCAACGCTTCCATTCAAACAAAGGCGGCACTTTGATAAAGGCTGGCGATAGACTGTGTTTGCCAGGCCGATTTAAAGACTGAAAGACAGACAAGCAGGCGGGGGGAGGTCGACAGACAGGCTACAGTCTACTACAGTACAGGCCTAGGTCACCTTTACAAAGTGCCTGTAGTCTGGTACAGAAAGAACCAAGCGCCTCTTATCACCAACAATGTACCACCCTGGACCAATTTCCTTTCAAAGGCCCCAACACTTACTAGAACATAACCATTGAGCAGTGACAAAGCACATTCAATGTAAATTCTTCCCCAGTGAGTGCTGGGACACAGATCCAGAGAAAGAAAAAGAGAAAGTTGGCTAAAGGAAGAGAGAAAGAGTGAGGTGAGGAAAGTGTGAATGCAAAGGCCATTTTGAGGCCCCACAAAGGAAGGGCAGAAGAATGAGAGGAAGCAAGTGTAGGAGGGCACATTCTGTCTGATTAACAGGACAGAAAGACAGGGAGGACAGCAGAGGGGGGCGAGGACTGACCGTCTGCGCAGGAACAGGACCACGACCACAATGAACAACATGGCCGCTCCTCCAACCGCTGCGCCAAGGATGCCTGCCGTGTTGGTCTGTGTTAGGCGTCCTGGAGAAAGGCAAGTAAAGGAAACGTAAGCGATCCCATTCTTGAACAAACTTATAACACTTCTTCCCATGTTGGTTCTCCTACAGACCTTCAGGAGAAGTCTCAAATTGTTCCTCCATGCTGGAGCCTCCAGGGCTGCCATCACTGCTGAGGGCCTGCACCCTGAACAGGTAGGCTGTGCCTGGGGCCAGATCCATGATCTGCACATAATTCTTCTCCAGGAGGAGCACAATGTAGGTAGTAACATCCAAGTTATCATCCTGAAAAAGGGAAATTGGGGAGATGTAGTCAACAAAGATTGTTTATGTTGAAGATACAGATTAATTACTCCTGTCTATGTGTATTTCAGTGGTAAAACTCTGTATTTTAACACATAGCAGGAGAATTAACAAGAGGAACTCACCTTCTTGCGGTAGGTCAGTTCATAGCGGATGGTACGGGGTTGGGCCCGAGGGCGGGGTGTAACATCCCAGGAAAGGGACAAGCTGGTAGAAGTCTTCTCCACCAGTCGCATGGTGGTAATCTTTGGCGGGTCTGAAGACAGAAGGTAGAGAATACTTGAGTATCTCTGTGATGTAAAAACCTTAAAACATACAGCTTCACTCTCTACTTATAATCGGAGAGCTCACAAGCTTTAATCGGTCAGTTTGATCTGCAATCCATGGGGAATTGAAGTTAAGTTAAATTAATTTAATCTCCCTCCTGCAGCACAAATTGACATGCAGAGCTGTCACTGCCTCAGAGATAGCATCTGCCATTACTGCAGCATAGATAGCATCACTCCACTGCCTCATATCAGCAGCACTCACCTGTGTAGTGCAGGGATGTAGTCAGAGCGCTGGTAGATGGCGGTCTAAAAGCCCGCGGAGATGCCTGACTCGCGAACAGCGACACGCCGCTATGTGCCTCCACAGTAAAGGTGTAATTGAGGTGAGCGTCCAACTCGCTCACGGATACTTTGGTTTGGGTCAGGCCGGTGCTGGCCGGCTCGTAGCGGATTTTCTCTCCACAGGCCTGGCACACAATGCCCTCGCAGCGCTGGCATTCAACGCTGTAGGTGATGTCGGTTCGACCGCCGGTGTCTTCAGGCGGGCTCCATGAGAGGAGGAGTTTTCCAGCTGAGAGCTGGGTGGTGGTGGATATGAGGTCTTGTGGTGCGGAGGGGAGGCCTGATGAACAAAGATTGGAAAATATGTTTAATAGAAGAAGGGAAGATGAAAAACAGGGAAGTGTGGGGGATTACTTATGACATAACAGTTACATTATTTAGTCTCAAAATGGGCTGTCAAACATGGAAGCGAATATTCCTAAAAGTACTTATTTCAAAGTTCTCATTCGAGATCAAGGGGCTTGTTACCTGAGCAGGGTCCAGTAGGGGGGTCACTGGGAGCACGGTAGAAGCCATCCATGCAGGGACAAAACAAAGCCCCAGTGTCCAGCCTCTGGGTGTTGGCAGGACACTGCTCACACTTGTCACTGGATGGTGCGTCTTTGAAGAAGCCTGGCTGACATTCTGCATACACAAAAACACATATTTGCATAAGATAGGTGAGCAAGGACAACAGTGACTTCAGGCAAAATCTCATTCAACAAAGTGCACATCCAGTTCTTCCAGATGTTCAGGTGTCTTTGAGGGATCGGCAATGCTGTGAACTTATCACCCTCCACGCAACTAAACAAGGTTGAGTGGACACGTTATTATGTTAAGGTTAAAGGTCGGATCTGGACAGAGATACGGGAGGGAAAACAGAGTCAAGGCTCTGCACTGTGTTGACTCTACTCATTAAAACTGTCCACTCCAGCTGCTGCTTATATGAACCCAACCCTGGAACAAAAACGCAGACTCCCTGCCTAGTCGGCACTCCTACTCTTTACTGTTAAAACCACCAACCCCCTCCGGATGCTGCTTTCTTAGCGTCTCTCACACAACAAACACAACCCGTCTTCCCACATTCCATGACAGTAAGTCAGTCTTCAATGCTTTAAAAGAAAGGCAATGAACATCAGGAAAGAGCAAAGAAAAAATAGTGACTATGTCCAAAGCAGACTTTTGGTTTGCACCTAACTGTGCATTATATATTTTTTCTTTCTCAGACCCGCATGCAGACTTTTGAAACTGTATCGCCCAGATTAGATGACATCTAATTTCACACGTCCAACTCTAAAGAGAGAAATCCAGGTAGAGAATCTAGCTGTGCGTAGCGGTGGTGAAATATGAACTTAATACGGTGTGAAATTTTTCGAGAGAGCGCGCCATAAAGGAGAGTGAATATTAGACGCCCCTACTTTAAACTCTGCAAGAGCATTCCAAAGGCTGCTGCTCATGTCCTCGCACCATCACACATTGATACACACAATAAGACACACACATTCGTGTATGCACTGCACACATGCACACACACCCATATGTATGCACTAAAATACACATACATGTATGCAAAGCACAACCGAGGACACATGGGGAAAGCTGAGATCAGAAGAGGGAGGAGGTCCCCCCACCCAACACACAACACACACACACACACACACACACACACACCCACACACACCACACACACACACACACAACACACACACACAAACCCACACACACGACACACACACACACACACCCACCACACCACACACACACTACACACACACACCCACACACACACACACCACACACACACACACACACACACACACACACCACACACACACACCACACACACACACACACACACACACACACACACCCACACACACACACACACACACACCACACACACACCACACACACACACACACACACACACCACACACACACACACACACACCACACACACTGCCTGTAGCGTTTAAATAGCTCATGACAGATGCCATGAGATGTTGACAATGCAAATTGAGGGCCAAGCTGTAGGCCAAAGGACAACAGGATAAGACAACCGATGAGAGAGAAGAAAGAGAGAAAGTTACTAGAGAGAGAAGGTATAAAGAGGAGAAATAAAGGATCTGTGAGAGATTGAACTTCATGCCAGTGACCGAGGCGAAGGTTCAATGTCGGATTCTATTAGAGGCAAATTGAGAAGCAGAACCAAGGACAAAGACAATATCAGATTCACTCAGAGATACTGTCTTGGTCTATCTCTGACGTTCACTGCGGTTAACTTGAATGAAGTTCATATGGAAGCCACAAGTGACCACAGAGAAGACAAATAGTACACGGCTCCCACTCCATTTAAGACATATCAAAAGGATTTACTCTATTAACCATGAGGGTCTCTTCCACTCCGTTCAGCTTTATCTATCATTGTGGTTGTGGCTGAGCTGCTAAGGAGGTGTGCTTTAACTGAAGAGTGCAACAACAATGGAGAAATGAAACACTCAGCATGAGAAGAATCTGAAAGTGTGTCCAAATAGGCTCGCATGTTACTCAATCCTCCCCTCAAGACAGCATCTCTCTGTGTCGGCCAGCTGTTTCACTAACAGCCACTGCTACTCATTAACGCGACAAGGCAGAGGTTGGGGCGAGGCAGCAGAGAGGTGCTATGAAGGAACAGAAGGTTCAAGAATGAAAGAGAGGAATACTGTATCCTGCTGAGGACTGAAGAAAAGAGGGGAGAAAGAAAAGGGACAGGCCAGGGCGAACTCTTCCATTGAGGAGGGGGAACAGCTGCTGCCCCGAACCCCGATTCATACCCCTACCTCTCCTCCTCGTAATCCCCAAATTCCTTTCTCTCCTCCCAGTCCTCACTAAAAAGACTCCCAGCTAACCCATTAACATTGCTATTCACCACTGACCAGCAGGCAAGGAGAATGCCATGCCATTCAAGTGCTGAAAGAAAAAAACACACACCCAAGCATTGCAGATGGGAATAGCCGAAATGCCACATGGCAACTGAAGAGAGGAGGACTAGCCTCTTTTTGGCGCTACAGTTCAGGCTGCAATGCATCGTGGTCAGGTCTGCGGAGATGATGGCCTTACACTGTAATCCGCCTCCATAATCAAGATGCATTCCAGTGCAAACCACCCATCAGGAGGCGTGCAGCAAAGCAGCTACACTGCAGATTCATTATCAGCCTATTCCTCCATTATGAACGTGAATGAGTTTGTGTTCCTTGATTAGGTGAGTCACACTGACAGAAAATGAAACTAAATGACTCGCTGCTGAGGCATTTAATAAGAGGATTCCTCGACAAAAGAGCAAAGTCCAGTGAGAGGAAATGTCTTGGTTCAACGGAGAAGGTGGAGGGGGTCGCTTTGAATTGTTGCTGGACACAACAGGAAGCAGGAAGTGTGAGGCTGATGCAGCCTTCCTTCCTAGAGCAGCCAATCAAAGCATGGAAACACAGGGAAGCGTGACCACATGAAGAACCAGCACAGAGACTACCAGAGTCCTGAGACAGAATAATAACCGAAAAGGAAGCCAAAATGTGTCGACCCGACATGAACGCGGGCACTAAACTCAAGCCGGGGGGGCTCCCTGGATGAACGCTTTTCCTCTCATAAACAAATGTCTCTCAGCCTCATCTGACTTGAAACATCTGACAAACTTAGCCTGGCCATTTTTCCCGTCTCTATTGCTACAGAGTAAGGAACTGTTTGTCATTTGAGAGGCCCCATGCGCCTTGAGTGGCTCTGTGTTTGTTTATTGAGAGTGAGTGCAGGGGCCTGTTACATTCTGGGAGCCCCAAGTGGCTCTGGAGTGGGAGCCCCCCCATGTGCCCACCTCCCGACAGAAGTTAAGATGGATGAGATGGCGACAGTGATGAATGCATGATCGGATAGATGGATGAATGGGAAACATGGTGGCTTGACAACAGAATCGCCCTTAGGACTGGAGGAGTAAGTGGTCGGGGGGCCCCCGAATCGAGTCCGGCGCTGGGCTTTTTAAAAGGCAGAAAGGTCATGTCTGCCTCAGGGTAAATGTGAGTTAAACTGTGCATGGCTTACAGGGAGTCAGTGGCCAAGTAAAACAAACACATGTTCGCAGTGAGGAGGAGGAGGAGGGAGAAAGAGTTGCAGCAGCACCCGGGGGCTTGCCCTGTGTGGAGGGAGGTTAAATCCAGAAGTACAACAAAATGGAAAAATAAATCCATAAGAAATAAATATAATTTGGGGATTTTTATTAGGGCAGCTTCCCAAATATATCTGGAGGCAAATGAGTAATCGCTTTGTCTGGTTCCTTGTACTTTACTTCTCCTCCCCTGCCCCCCCTTTTCCATTCCTGAGTAGGTCCGACCCGTAATTGCAATATGTCATGTCATTTTGTTTGTATGCAGGGGTGACAACATGTCATTAGCATTTTGGGGGAGTAGGGTTGTGGTAGAACAATGGGGGTCTCTGATGGGGGAGGTGAGCCGGTAACGTGAGCCAGGGGTCATCGAGGTAGAGTAAGGGAGGGGGGAGAGGGGGGTAGTAAAGGTGTAGAGGCTGATGGAAGTGTGTGCGTGTAGGAGGGGAGGGAGACATTAGTCAAAAGGATTAGCTGACCAATGGAGCAGCTGTAAGGGCATTACATCTGTTTTACAATTGCTCTCAGGCTTTCATCTAGGGGTTGTTAACAAACACAATAAATTCCCTGATCCCCTTTCCCCTCTCACTCCCTCTGTCCACTAAGGCTCTCAAAAAAGAAGGAGAATACAGGGAGTGAAAGAGTCAAGAAGGCACAAACCATACTCAACATGTTCTAAAGTAAAGTAGATACTTAAAAAAAAAAAACAGTCCTGGCTGACGTTAAAGTCTGTCTGTAACTTAAATGTCAGCCAGGATTGGTAAGGCCGCAGTCATGCAGTCAATTTTCATGCGTCTCCATGTGGCTGGTCAAATCCAGACAGCCAGGTGGCAAACGCGACACTATTTAACTGCAGCACGGCGAGCCAACAGGTCACACACTGCATGCCGACAGCCGTCTGCTTCCTGGTTAAAAGGGAAGGGGCAAAATGGGACCAAATGCACCAATAAACAAAATGACTTATCAGGCAGGACAACAAAATGGAAAGTGGCTGAGCTAGGCCGCTCAGTGTGGAGCGACAATGGAAAGCCCTGAGCCAACGGGTCGGGGAGTCACCGAGGGATTAGGTGACCTCCGGTTTCCGCTGCAAGCTCGTCCTGTTAGCAGTGAAGGGTGGGTGGGTGGTGTTTGGGGCTGGGGGGGACTGACTGACTGACATGGGGGAAGGAAAGTGCTGACCTCACACACTGGCAATACAATACAATGTGCTTCACATTGCTCTGGAGTCCCCCATCACAACACACACATAAACACACACACGGCCCCCAGGCTCAGGAATGTCACCAAGAGGAAATATGTCCCAACTTCCCCACTGCGACCAACACACACAATAAAAAGCCAACAATTTGCCGAGGCTCAGTTATTAGGCTCTTGTATTCACACACTGAATGGGAGACTTTACTGAACACATATCATTAGTTGGTAGTTGTATTAAAGAAACAAATTCCTTGAGTCAGATAACTTTTTATTACCTTTTCAATCATATTGTTGGCGTCCCAGTGTTCAAACCTCATTC